TTTTAATCAAGGATTTAGCTTTCTGTCTGAATCAAACTTAAAATGTTTATTTGTGTCCGACACAATGTATTGACTGTAGTTTAATGTGTTTTCTTATGAGACTGGGCTCACAAAGATTTTACAATTACTGGGAATGCGTTTTTATAAAAAGCATTACATAATGCCAAAATGGGGCATTTTCAGTGCCTCACTGCTCCTTAATGAGCATGGGCACCCCCTTTTTTATTTCAAAATTGAAGTTATCATATGACAAATATTTAGTGGACAAAGTTTGAACAAAAATCTATTGTCACGTTTATTTCAGAGGAATTACCTTAAGTTTAAGTGTCCCAATTTGGTGGTTTTGTTCCTGCTATTTTAGCCTGACACTTAAATAAAGTTACTTACTTTTACTTACTTAGTGTTTAGAGGCTTTTTCAATCCCGCATCCCGCCACTATTTTTGGCTCAATCCCGCTATCCCGAACCACTCAGAATGTTTATCCCGATCCTTACTGGTTATTGGTACAGTTTATCGCCGTAACCTGTGATTTTCTGATTTTCATCCCGCATCCCGCCATCAATTTCAAAACTATCCCGTATCCCGCCTGTCAAAATGGGCAAATCCCACTCCCGCCAAAATATTTCACATCTCGCCTCTATGACAGTTACTCCCTGTGTTCGTCCCTCGGAATCCTTGGTCATATTAAATACAGGCCCCTGCTGTTTTATCCTCGGATTCAAAAAGGGCAGTGCGGTATAGGGTAAACGACAACGCAGAAGACACATAACGTTGTTGAAGTTCTTGAGGGGGCGTATTAGCATGTATATCGTTTGATATCTCCAGGACATCGTGTTACGTAACCGTTGAGTGTTGCACTAAAAATGGAACTGTTAGTTCAAATACCTCAATTTTTTCAGGTCTTTTTTTCCAGTAGTGTTATGGCTACATTTGCATCTATCATCATGTCTCAATTTAAATGGTTGTCAAACCTTCCGGTTTATTTCTTGGTCGGGGAAAGAGTTAATCACAATTGTTCGGGCGTACCTCACACAACGGTGACAATTTGGATGCTGGGAGACGGTCACGAAAAGTTGGGATTATATTTCTCAACATTGTCTTAAAGCGTTGGTAAACATTTTTTAAATAACCTGCGAAAGTTTTCCGTCAGAATCAATATTTCCAGTTAATGAAGCTTTAGTTATTGCTTATTTTATTTTTTTCTTTTTAAATGTTTAGTGTTTTTATCATGAAGAGTACTTTCATATTACGCAAAAGTTAGCCCATGTCACTCATAATTCGCTGTAAAGTCACGGGTTGCTCAGAGAGTACTTTGATTATTCACAGAGTCGGTGATGAGTACGCCAACGTTTTTCTTAAATGATGTGTTCATTGCGGGTGATGTATCAGCAACATGGAGCGAAGAACAATGGCGGGGGATCATCAACAAGCTATTACCTGAGGGTAAGGATCCTGTTTTATTGTATGGCTAGCTAAATAACCACATTCTGCGCTGTGATTGGCTACCCGAGCAGGTAAGATTGGGTTCTCTTCCCTGCTTTGAAATGCCCTCTGTATCCCGCCTAATGAATCTATACTTACTGTGACACGCTTAGTTTATGGAAATTAGTTCTCGTTCTAGAATAGACCTTTTCACGGTTAGTTTTTCGCATTTGCATTACAGTGAAATCCCTCGTGGATGCGAGGCAATTTCGGTCTGAAACTGCGAAAAAGCCCAAAAGTGCCTCACATGCATGCTAGATTATATTGTAATGCAAATGACCGTGAAAAGGGGCTATTAAGAGGCCATTTCCATTGGGGAAAAAATCCTGAAATTCTGCCAGCAAAATCGAATGGAACGGGAATATCCATGCCTGTATCCAGGTGAAAGCTTTCCAGAGGTTACGAGGTTGTCCATTGGAGGAATTTGGAGCTCCGGTTCCAAGCCTTGAGTAACACAGACGAGCAAGACATTGAAGAAGAAGACACTGTAAATCAACAGTGGAAGCAAGTTAGGAACATGTTTGATGAAGCAAGTAAAACCTGTCTGGGGATGTAGAAGACTAGAAAAAAGAAAGAATGGATTACACCAGACAAGTGGCAGGCTATCGAGGAGAGGCGCCAGCTGAAGAAGAAAATAAATGACAGCAGATCAGCCAGACTTCGAGTAAAGTATAGGGCAGCATATGCAGAAACCAACAGGCGTGTCAAGAGAAAGATCCGAACTGACAAAGAGGCATATTTGGAAGAGCTGGCAAAGGAAGCAGAGGAAGCGGCTCAAAAGGGAGAGCAGACTATGAATGTCTATAAAATCAGAAGAAGAAGAAGAAGCAGAATGTSTATAAAATCACTAAATTGATCTGTGGAAAATATAGTGYCAGCAGAAATGCCCCCATACGAGATAAACAAGGGCAGCTCCTCACCTCTGAAAAAGACCAAGAAGCACGTTGGGTAGAGCATTTCAAGGAAGTCCTCAATAGACCAGCACCAGAAGTGGAGCCTGATATACCAGAAGCTGAGGAGGACCTAAGTGTTGACACCGGACCACCCGAGAAAGAAGAGATCATTGCGGCCATTAATTCTCTAAAAAACCACAAGGCACCTGGGAGGGGATTCCATACGCTCGTGTATCTTCCACAGGCTGTGCCGGTGTACGCTGTCGAAGGCCTTGGCAAAATCTACAAAGTTCACGTAGAGAGAGTTGCCAGTTCGGTACTCTGTTCAATGATATTTGAAGAACTTCCTTACGCAGACAGATTTACCTATCTCGGCAGCATCATCAGTAGAGATGGAAATCCAAAGCCGTCTCAACAAGGCCAGAAACTCGCTAAACATGATGAATAAGGTATGGCGCTCCTCCACTTACAGTACTCGTATCAAGCTCTCCTGTATGGTTCAGAATGAAGGGGCTTAACAGAGAAGGATTTATCAAAACTCTCCACATTTCACACCAAGAGCCTTCGGCGTTTCCTGCGCATCTTCTGGCCTAATGTCATCTCAAACAAAGATCTCTTTGAACGGTGTGGAACTGAGCGAATGGCTACCATCCTGATGAGGAGACGCTGGAGGTGGATTGGCCATGTCACCCGTCAAGAAGCTTCCATTGCGAAAACTGCTTTACACTGGACGCCAGAAGGGAAACACAGGAGGGGTCGCCCCAAGATCACGTGGCGACGGACAGTGGAGAAAGAAATCAAGGAGATGGGGAAGACCTGGGGAGGCATCAAGCTTATGGCAAGGGACCGGCAGATGTGGAGGGAACACGTTACTGTAGTGTTGTGACATCTGTCAATCATACGAGCACGCGGTCTAAAAAGGAGTTCATACTCCCCTTGTAGTCGGTGCGAGCATGTAGTCAATAAAGTCAGAGTGAGTTTAACTTGCGGTGGTTTCACTTAAACGGTACAACACCACACCTGGCGACGAGGATCCAAGAAGCG